CGGAGGAGTAGGAGGAGGGAAGAAAAGATTGTGGCAGAACATGGGGTCAGAGAGAAAGAGCAGATCTTAGGAGCATAGGAATCTGTCTTATTCCAGGTCAGATCACTGGTCCATCCAGGTCAGTATTGGTTACTCTGACCAGTGCCAGATTTACGTATAAGCTAAACAAGCTATAGCTTAGGGCCCCACTCTCTTGGGGGCCCCCCAAAATTTAAAGGAAATAAAACCTGGATGTACATTTCCAAAATATAAGATAAAAAACAAATAAAATAAAACCTACATACAGTGTTTTGTGTTGTGTAGGCTCCTATGATGTAAGTCATGGGCCCCACCTGCTAGCCTGCTCCCTCAAATATCACTGGTTTGCTCCTTTCTATATATAGGATGCCTAAATTCTGCATGGACTGGTCTCATGGCAACATGTGCAAATGGCTTGAGATACCTATGAGGTCCATAAATCACCATCTAGAATATATTCAACACAAACCAGCGACAATTTGTTGTTGACAAAGGACAGCTGGACATATGAAGGGCCCCATTACCTTCAGTAGCTTAGGGCCTCATCAAACCTAAATCTGGCCCTGACTCTGACTGGGAGCAGCTGTCTGGGATTTCAGATGGACCGGGGGGGGGGGGGAGGACAATTTCCAGGCCCACCCAGAGGGGCCATTAGAGATTGACCTGGGACATTCTTCATGCAGTGCAGAAGCTCTATAGCTCCAGTCTGAAACCACAGGGGGATGTTTCTGAAAGGATTCCTGCAGCGAAAAGGCCAGGCTGTTGTGAGATCCAGAAACCCCTTTCGTTCTGTGGCTATCAGGGGATATAGCTGATTAATTTATGCATAAATTCCTGTCCACATGCAACCCGCATGTGAAGCATGGATCAAGTATCGGATAAATCAAAACAGAACATTCTGAGACTTGGGGTGGGGAAATTCTAAAATAGAGGCGCTATCCCAGCTGTGGGAGATGCTGGCAGAAATCTGGTTTGTAAGTCCACCCAGCAAACCTATTTGTTTCAGTTATGTCCAAAGTCACTATTGAGCAGGTCTGGCACAGCTTGGGAGTATTTATTTGGCAATGTCCCTCATGCCCTGCAATATTTGACAAGGGATGCACAGTTCCTTGTTGATGGTGTGATTTTCCAAGGGGTGGGGTGGCTTTAAGACTTAGACTCTCGTAAAAATAGTGTCTACCAAGACACTAGCCCAGCCCAGTTTTGCTGCTTGCCCGGGACTTGCAAGATGGAGGGTGGGGTCATAGCACTTGGCAGGCTGCAATGCCAAACTAAACGGTTTGGGGTGGCAGGGGACTCTGAATGGCAAAGGCCCGGTGGGGCATTCTGGCCTATTCTGGCAGTTCAGAAGGCTTTGAAAGCAGCTCAGTGGCACAAGCAGAATGCAGACCTGGGACTCTTGCAGACATCTGGGTTTGCAGTGTAAGCCTGCAAGGCCTGTGCAGTTGCTTCAAGGCTCCTTTTTTCTATTGCACCAGCTAAAACCATCCCTAATGGACTGAACGTGAGCAAAGCGGGGAGGGGGAAGAATTGGCTGCATATTAAAGGAGGCCCAGTGTTGTTGGTGGGCTGTTTTAAAAGGAGGTATAAGTCTCCCCTCACTGAGCACTTGCGGGGCAATGGCAGAATTCCAGAGAGAATCCTTCGCAACTTCATTCAGCTGGCTTCAAACAGCAGCGTCTGAAAAAGCTTTCAAGGTCTGATGGGAAGCCACCGATCTTTAACTTAAGGCATCGGGATGGAAGTAGCACCCAAGTCCATCCTCCTTGCCCTCCCCTGAGCATTCGTGTTGCAGGAGCTGCAGTCCTGTGCATTCAGATGAGGAAAATAGCCCTGTTCAAAGAGTCACCGAGATCATGAAGGTATTTGACGCAAAGAAGAACCAGAAAACCATGCACAGAAGGAAAAGCAGGCAAAAGAAAAAGCAGGCAAAATCCAAGACACAGGTGCAACACTCACTTCCCAAAATTTTGAAACCTGACAAGCAGCGTTTGAAACTCCCATTGTTCTAGGCGCATTTTGAGACCGGGAATTTAATTAGCGCAAGCAGTTTCTGAGCTTTGGGCGCAGTGCGGAGCCTAAGATTTGAGATTAAAACTGCAGAGAGGAAAGGAGGACCTTTTTCTGCCTCCCCACTTCTGACTACTCTCTGAAGACTGGAGAAGAGACTCTCTTAAGAATATTAGGAGGGTGGGCAGGGGAAGGACTCGACCATGTGAAAAATGAACATAATATTTTAACTGCAGTTCATTCCTTTTCAGCTTTGCATTCTTGTTATAAAAAAAGCATGCCTAGACATTCCGTTGTTGTGCCTATAACCTAGGCTTAATGTACCTTTAAGCTCCTAGCTTTCATATCTTGATTTCTAACCCTGCTGACAAGCAGTGGGATTTGCACAGAGCAGGCAGCCACAGTGACCTCCTGAGGCAACTTCCCCTGGGCAGGACTAAGGGCTCGGCCACATTCCCATTTGTCCCATTCCTAGGAAGCATGGGCCCAAGCGGTTTTGCCTTTGCCCCAGAAAACCCACTCTCTAGTGCTAAATTGGAACAGACAGACATCCACAGAAAACCCAATTGCTGTTTGTTCCGATTCAGCACCGGAGATTAGGTTTCCCTGGAGGGAAGCAGTGGGGCAGCTGGAAGTGCGGATAAGCCATGCCATTTCCTATGCAATGTGAGTTGCAAAAATGAATACATATAACTCCCTTAATGGGGATTGCAGGAAGGGAGAGCTGCTCTTGTGCTGCTGTCCTGCTTGTAGGTTTCCCACAGGCAACAGGATGCTGGACTAGATGGGCCATTGGCCTGATCCAGTAGGCTCTTCTTATGTCCTGATAAGAGACCTTGGAAGGACCTTGAAGGCTTTTGCATCCAGAAAACACTAGTTGTTTGTTTGTTTGTTGTTGTTGTTTTAAAAGAGGGAAATTAGGGGAAGTACTTGGAAAGAACTTCAGGAAAGTATAAATACTGAGTGCAGAGGTCTTTGTGTTCACACACAGCTCTCCACTGCATTCATCCCAGCTTTCTACAAGAGTCTTGGTCTCTGCGTTAGAGTTTCAAAGAGAGAGGATTCACAGCTTCACATTTCTGAAATCCCTGCAGAAGTCTAGCGGTGCCATCAGTGGAGCCCCAAATATGGCAGGGCCTTGCAAGCAAAGAAGCAACACACATTATCATCTGTGGAAGAGAACCCAGTGAGACCACTGAGTCCAGAGCCTAGAATTACCTAACTGCACGACTAGTCTAGTTTTGCTATGTGCCTGCTGCAATTGGATGCCTGCAAGGAGATTTTGGGGGGAAAGGGGGAGGTTTGTTAACTAAGTGGATGGGTGGCTGGTGGTTGGTTGGTTTGTTTGCTTTTAAAGCAAACAGCCTTAAAAATGCTAGCTTTGCCTACCCGAAGAGCCAAAAACAGTAATTATCACAAAGCAATTTTGTCAGCAGCAGCAAGTGGAAAAGGTTCATTTATTTCAACGCAGCTCTGATTATGAGGAGACTTCTCCCTCCCCTGTTGGAAAACCCCTGTGCTTCAAGGGGAGTCTTCCAAACCAACTCAAAACAGACATACGGAGGCCCTGAACAAACTTGTTCAGAAGGTACCAAGAGAGGGCTGGCTTCTGGAAAGTCTCTCCTGGGACTGAGAAAGCTAAAACTCCTCAGGTGGTTCACAGTTTTCCAAATACAAATATCCCCTTAACGAATTCTAGCAGAAACAAGTATGAGTGCCTGGAGGTGGTTGGAGGATGGATGGCAGCTAACAGATTGAGGTTGAGTCCTGACAAGACAGAAGTACTATTCTTGAGGGACAGGGGGTGAGCGACTATGGGGGACTCCCTGGTCCTGAATGGGGTAACTGTGCCTCTGAAGGAGCAGGTGCACAGCCTGGGAGTCATTTTGGACTCACAGCTGTCCATGGAGGTGCAGGTCAATTCTGTGTCCAGGGCAGCTGTCTACTAGCTCCACCTGATACGCAGGATGAGACCCTCCCTGCCTGTGGACTGTCTGGCCAGAGTGGTGCATGCTCTAGTACTAGTTATCTTCTGCTTGGACTTCTGCAATGCACTCTACATGGGGCTACCTTTGAAGGTGACCCGCAAACTGCAACTAATCCAGAATGCAGCAGCTAGACTGGTGACTGGGAGCAGCCACTGAGACCACATAACACCGGTCCTGAAAGACCTACATTGGCTTCCAGTACATTTCCAAGCACAATTCAAAGTGTTGGTGCTGACCTTTAAAGCCCTAAACGGCCTCGCTCCAGTATACCTGAAAGAGTGTCTCCACCCCCATCGTTCTGCCCAATCACTGAGGTCCAGCGCTGAGGGCCTTCTCGGTGGTGGCACTCGCCCTGTGGAACATCCTCCCACCAGAGGAAATAAACAACTATCTGACTTTTAGAAGACATCTGGAGGCAGCCCTGTTTAGGGAAGTTTTTAATGTCTGATGTTTTATCGCTTTAATAATAATAATAATAATAATAATAATAATAATAATAATATGTTGGGAGCTACCCAGAGTGGCTGGGGAAACCCAGTCAGATGAGTGGGGTATAAATAATTCATTATTATTATTATTATTATTATTATTATTATTATTATTATTATTAGACCACCTCTCTCTGCTAGCCACAGAGATAGCAATGCTTCTGAATACCAGCTGCTGGGAATCACACAAAGAGAGAGGACTCTGGCACCCGGGCATTTGGTTGGCCCCTGAATCCCGCCCCCCCCAAAAAAAACACACTACTGCACAAAACAACAAGCAAATCCAAGCAGCCATGCTCATCGACCGGCCGTGTTAACAAAGCCAAAGAGACGCTGTCCTGGGTCAGGGATGCGCTAGCGGCAGGCAGCGTAGCAAGAGCGATGCTCTTCATGCGCGTGGAGAGCGCACTGGCCACCCTCCCCCTCTCCATTGCTCTCAAGGACCCCGGCCCACGTGCTTTTTGGGCAATCTGCAAGTCGGCTTCCGAATACTCACTGTTTCTGCAACAGGTGCTGGTGTTGCTGTTGTTGCTGCTGCTGCTGCCGGTACGTCTCAATGGTGTGCTGGGGGAGGTACTGCATCAGCTCCAGAGACTCCTTGATCTTCAGTAACATCTCATAAGTCTCCCGGCCTCGCACCTGAGCACAGACGAGAGGGAGGAAGAGACTTAAGAGATGCTCAGGGCTGCTGGACCAGACCAGTCGCCCATCTCGTCCAACGCTTTATATATGCCTCTGTCCACCCTTCCGTCGTAAAGAGTTTGTTATCTCTGCTGGCTTGCGTGCTCAGCTTCTGAAAGGCTTCTGAAGCTCTGATTCGAAGTTTTGATGCAGAACTGAGGACTGGAGTTCGACTGGCTGCTGGCCGGTGGGGTGGAGCATTTTGTCACCCTTCTCAGTGGTGACACCCGGGGTGCCCCGCCCCCACCGCACCCCCTTTCTCCTCCCCTGCCCACCAGGAAATGGTTTGGCACAAATGAGGCAAAAGGTTTCTGCAGGGACAGGGGGGCAGGCATGCCAAACTTACCGGAAGGTATAGCAACTCATCATCGGGGGTGCGCCGTTTTTTAACCGAAGTCATCTGAATGCCGTGTGTACTCTGCCGGAAGGCTGCCAAAGGGAACGGGGAGAGAATGACAGTTGTCAAGCTAAGTCCAACAACCTATCAGGTCGCTCACAGCCACAAGGAACACGTTTCCTCTCCGTTCTGTTCTGCAGTGCGCATGCTGCCCGGTGAGCCTGCCCCATGCTCCTATTTTTTGTGGGAAGGGTGGAGTGCAAAAAGTCACATCACAAAATAATAATAAAAAGACTGCCTCACACTGTCTCAAGACCATTGGTCTATTTTGCCCAGTGCAGTGGTACCTTGGAAGTCGAACGGAACCCGTTCCAGAAGTCGAAAACGTTTGGAAACCAAGGCACAGCTTCTGATTGGCTGAAAGAAGCTCCTGTAGCCAATTGGAAGCTTCGTCAGACGTTTGGGTTCCAAAGAATGTTTGCAAACTGGAAGAGTCGCTTCCGGGTTTGGGGCGTCCAGGAGCCAAAACGTTCGACTTGCAAGGCGTTCGAGATCCAAGGTACGACTGTACTGGCTTTTCAGAGTGGCTACTTAAGAGTTTTCCAGGCCAGTGGTTCTCAAAGGGTGTGGCAGGAGAGGAAGGCGAATGTGGCAGAGACACTCAAGAGCAATCTAAGACACATTTAAACATTTCAGTGTAGTATAGTACAGTAGAGCATCAAAGTATTATTATTATTACTATTATTATTATTATTATTATTGCAGGATATGGACAGATATGTTTTCGAAATGAGAGCAAGAGCACTGAGCCGCCCTGAGATCTTGCGATCCAGGAGGTGGGGCATAGAAACTTAATAAATGAATAAATATATATTTTTAAAAAGATCACCGAGTGATGCTGAAGACAATATATTCGTGAATAAGGATTTTCAATTCTGAGGTTTCTTTGTGCTGTTGAGGAGAGGAGAGTTGGTTTGTCTCAAATGAGACCTCATCTAAATGAGATTATCCAACAAAAGCAAGCTTGCGCCTCTCCTTGTCACTTAAGATACACACGTAAGAGTTTAGAATTATAATTTGGGAATGATTCCTGCTCTTTTGTAGCTGCATTGTTTTGCACTTTCTGTATGGCCCATGAATTTTTGCAGTTGTGTTCCATGTTATGAATCAAGCGCCACTGGAATTTGTTTCCTTTTGTTTCCCAGTGTATTTCTTATCAAAAGAAAACTTGGTGCGGCACGAGCAAATTGTTATTCTGAAAATGTAGCCCAGAAAAAAAACTTTGATAACCGCTGGAGATTTCCCTGGAGATTAAACCTGGAGCCTTTAGCATGTGAACCACATGCTCTATGGCCAAGCTAAGCATAAGCCCCACTTTGAATGTGGGGTTCAGTGCTGACAGAGCAGATGTCAGGGAAGACCCAGTGCTTCCTTTAAAAGGTACAGGGACCCCTGACCATTAGGCCCAGTCGTGGCCGACTCTGGGGTTGCGGTGCTCATCTTGCTTTATTGGCCAAGGGAGCCGGCGTACAGCTTCCGTGTCATGTGGCCAGCAGGACTAAGCCGCTTCTGGCGAACCTGAGCAACGCACAGAAACGCCGTTTACCTTCCCGCTGGAGTGGTACCTATTTATCTACTTGCACTGGTGTGCTTTCGAACTGCTAAGTTGGCAGGAGCAGGGACTGAGCAACGGGAGCTCACCCCGTGGCGGGGACTTGAACCGCCAACCTTCTGATCGGCAAGTCCTAGGCTCTGTGGTTTAACCCACAGCGCCACATGCATCCTGTGTGCTTCCTTTCCTTCCTTTACTTTTACGCAAACCAGGGGCATCTGGTGGGCCACTGAAAGAACAAGGTGAGGGGCTGGATCAGGGATCAGCAAACCTTTTCAGCTGAGGGCTGGTCCACTGTCCCTCAGACCTTGCGGGGGGCCGGACTATATTTTGAAAAAATAATGAACGAATTGCTATGCCCCACAAGTAACCCAGAGATGCATTTTAAATAAAAGCACACATTCTACTCGTGTAAAAACACCAGGCAGGCCCCATAAATAACCCAGAGATGTGTTTTAAATAAAAGGGCACATTCCACTCATGTAAAAACACGCTGATTCCTGGCTCGTCCGTGGGCTGGATTGAGAAACGATTGGGCCAGATCCAGCCCCCGGGCCTTAGGTTGCCTACTCATGGGTGGGGTGGTCCACTGGCCTGGCCCAGCAGACTCTTCTTATGTTCAACCCGTGCCGAAGGGTTCTGTGTGAACCGCAAAGCTTGCACATTCCTAAAGCACCGCCTCCAGAAAGCCCCCTCCCCTCTGCTGGTTCTCTGAGCCCCGCAGCCGTACCCCCACCCAGCCACAGCCTCGAGTGCCCCCTGCTGGCCTACTTACGCCTCTTCGTACCATCACCGTTCTTTGTGCTGTCGGAGACCTGCTGTTTGCGAATGCTGTCCTCGTCGGCTTTGCGGTCCCTGCCTGGGCAAGCGCAGATCCGAGCCTCGAAGCACCGGCGCCCCAGGACTTGCCCGCTGGAGGATGGAGAAAACGGGGGATCTGTTAGCTCACAGCCATGGGGAGGGCTGGCACTAAAATAAACACAGTGGGCAAGTGTTTTATGCACGGAAACGGCAACCCGCAATGAACCCACATATCTGAATCCTGACAAGACAGAAGTACTGTTCTTGGGGGCAGGAGGCAGGCAGGTGTGAAGGACTCCCTGGTCCTGAATGGGGTAACTGTGCCCCTGAAGGACCAGGTGTGCAGCCTGGGAGTCATTTTGGACTCAGAGCTGTCCATGGAGGCACAGGTCTATTCTGTATCCAGGGCAGCTGCCTACCAGCTCCATCTGGTACGCAGGCTGAGACCCTCCCTGCCTGCATACTGTCTTGCCAGAGTGGCGCATGCTCTGGTTATCTCCCGCTTGGACTACTGCAGTGTGCTCTATGTGGGGCTACCTTTGAAGGTGACTCGGAAACTACAACTAATCCAGAATGCAGCCGCTAGACTGGTGACTGGGAGCAGCTGCCGAGACCACATAACACCGGTCTTGAAAGACCTACATTGGCTCCCAGTACGTTTCCGAGCACAATTCAAAGAGTTGGTGCTGACCTTTAAAGCCTGAAACGGCCTCAGCCCAGTAGACCTGAAGGAGCATCTCTACCCCCATCGTTCTGCCCGGACACTGAGGTCCAGCTCCGAGGGCCTTCTGGCGGTTCCCTCACTGCGAGAAGCAAAGCTACAGGGAACCAGGCAGAGGGCCTTCTCGGTAGTGGCACCCACCCTGTGGAACGCCCTCCCACCAGATGTCAAAGTGATAAACAACTACCTGACATTCAGAAGACATCTTAAGGAAGACATCAGGGAAGTTTTTAACATGTGACATTTTAGTGTATTTTTGGTCTCTGTGGAAGCTGCCCAGAGTGGCTGGGGAATCCCAGCCAGATGGGCGGAGTACAAATGAAAAAAGAATAAGAACAAGAATCTGCGAGCCAAGCTCCGCGTTCGCAAACCACTGGACCCAACCAATGCCCTCCGTGAGCCTTAAATCTTGCCTACAGCTTGAGTCTGCCCCAAACACCAGAACATGAATGCATCTGTGTGCATGGCTCCTCTTTAAGATGCCAGCCTGTGTGCTTGGACCAATCCAAGGGCCTAGTCCACATTCTGGAGTCTTACTAACTGAAACTGACTTTTATATATTATCATATAATCATGGAATTGTAGAGTTGGAAGGAATCACGAGGGCCATCCAGCCCAACCCCCCCTGCAAGGTCGCTTCTTGGCCTTTTGGCTAAGATCAAGTGTAGTGTAGTGTAGCAATGCAGGAATCTTTTGCCCAACACAGGACTCGAACCCACAACCCTAAGATTAAGAGTCTCATGCTCTGCCAACTGAGCAATCCCAGCCTTGGACCACCCCCCATAAGTTAGTAGCTTTGTATTGATGCAATATTTTAATATGTAACTGTATTTTTGTAATATCTAGTTTAATATCTTTTTTGGATACCACTTAGTGAAATGGCTAATATAGTAAGGGGTATAGAAATTAAATAATCAACCCTGCTCTGGTGGAACCTGCAATATTCTGGCAGCAGTTATGGGGCAGGACCTCCGGGCACGATTCTCTACTATCCTATGATTGTATGACTACATGCCCCTGTTTGTGAATAGGGAATTGCTGTGTTTGTGAGCAATGAAAACAAAAGCCCCTTCTGCTTCTGGATCAAGGTGTGGTTTTTTTTGCTTGGGACTCATTTTTTGATCTCCCATCAAGTTGCAGTGGCTTCCAGACCAGGGGCAGGCCATCACTTGCCACTCCGAGCTCCTGCTAATTCTACTTACTCTCTGGTTTCAAGTGTCACGATGATAAGAATCGGACGCCGGTTCATGCCCCCGACGCAACTGCTGTTGCACATGAAATTGTACAAGACGGTGGTGAATTCTGTGCCGACCTGGGCAGAAGAAAAAAGGGGGGAGTTATTCTGAGTCAGCTCTGAGTCACGCAGGAAGTGATTGGTTTGCTGAAGGCTGATGCAACACACACACACACACACACACACCTCTCCATAAAGGCTTCCTTCCCTTCCCCTCTCCAAAGAAACTTGTCTGCTTCAGATGTAATGCTAATTCGGACATAGGAACCTGTTTTGTACCAAGTTGGGCTATAGGTCTCCCTGAGCCCAGTCCTGTCTTTTTCAACTGGCAGCAGATTTCCAGGTCTTCTAAGTCTGGCAGCGGCTACACTTTGGAACTCCCTGCCTATTGAGATCAGGCAGGTGCCTCCTCTTGTACCCTTTCAGCGCTCAGATGCTTCAAAAGTTGCCACAAGTTTTAATCTGTTTTTAGTTTATTGATCACAGAATTGTACTGGTAAGGTAAAAGGTAGAGGACCCCTGGACGGTTAAGTCCAACCAAAGGCGACAATGGGGTTGTGGTGCTCATCTCGCTTTCAGGCCAAGGGAGCCGGCATTTGTCCACAAACGGCTTTCCGGGTCATGTGGCCAGCAGAACTAAACCGCTTCTGGCGCAACGGGACACCGTGACGGAAGCCAGAGCTCATGGAAATGCCGTTTACCTTCCTGCTGCAGTGGTACCTATTTATCTACTCACACTGGTGTGCTTTCGAACTGCTAGGTTGGCAGGAGCAGGGACCGAGTAACGGGAGCTCACCCCATCATGGGGATTCGAACCGCTGACCATCCCATCGGCAAGCCCAAGAGGCTCAGTGGTTTAGACCACAATACCACTCGCATCCCTAGAATTGTATAGGGACCCCCAAGGCTCATCAGTCCACCCCCCCTGCAATGCAGGAATCTCAACTAAAGCATTTTAACTTTCCAAGGGTCTTAAATTATTACTTTTTCTCATTGACTATTGCATTGTTTTCTCTTTTCTGTAGACCACTTTGAGGTTGGTTTACTTTGTTTCTTACAGTCAAGCAGTGAATAGATTTTATGAAACAGATAAATGCCAGAGCACTTGGTAGCGTGTGCAGAGGCTGGTTGCTTCCACTTGCTGAAAGGAAAGAACAAGGGGCAGCAGTGAAACATTAACAATGGTTTAGTGTGATGTGTGAACGGGCTTATTCTGTTGCATCTGAAGGGACGAAACGACAGTCCTGCTTAGAAGACCTCAGCCTCCCAACTTGTGGGATGTGATACATAAGTAGCAGTCAAGTACAACATTCCTTGTTTTCCTAGAGTGGACATGCAGGTGGATGTTTGCTCCAGCCAGTCAGAAACTTCCTGTTTCCTCCTGGACTGGGACATACTTCCTCTTGCATGTGACTAGAGGTGGGCGTGACCTAACCTGAGCAGGTAACAAAAGCACAAGGCACGCAGCCCTCCTCCCCTTCTTTTCCATCTTCCTTTTGTCATGTGAACTACAGTAACTGCCAGTTTGCAGTCACTGGGATTAACCCCCCCATATGGGGTAGATCCATATGTACATATTTGTAACTAAGTCTGCCTTCTGGGATCCAGCTGTGAACAGAATGTGACTAAACTATTTTATATACTCTAAACAAGATTGTGGCATGTTTATTCTTTTAAGAGGGATATAAGGGAACCTACTAGGAACCAAATAGTGAGAGGCTTAAACAAGCCTGCAACCAGCTACCTGCTGTGCGTTTAAAAGGGGAATGTAAAACTCTGCTAAGTTATAGAATTTGCTAGCACAAGTTAGGAAGGATATCAATAAACAATATATCCTCTCCTGCCTCCCTGAACATTCCCACACAACTCACCTGCGGTGGCTCATATGGGACCAGGACACTCTGCCTGCCAGTGATGGGGTCTTCCACATACTGAGCATGGCTGTTTCCTTCCACTCTGATCAGGTGGCTGGGAGGAGCTATTTGACCTGCAAAAGCGTATGGGAAAGGAACAAGGTCAGCAAAAGAACCAGCGTTTTGGAGAGAGATAACCCGAGGAAAGCAAGCGAACTTCCACAGTCCAGGGCTCATGTCTTGCTGTAAAATCCCTGCACCTATTGGCATACCTCAACTCCACCTTCAAGAGCTTCCCTAGTGACAGTGACTGAAATGGACCTGTGTTGTGCTCGCTGCTGTCAACTGGCCACTCTATAGCTATGCTTCAGATTGTTACATAAGTGGGGTGCCTGCCCCTCTCTCTGCCAAGTGATGACGAGAGTCCACCAGGTCTGTGGTTCCTCTGGAAAATGGAGGCACAGTGGAGGCTGTTGTAGCTTTAGGAAATATGGTTTATTAGCCTATTTACACCTTCAGTCTTCATGGAGGGAGTCCAGCATGGCCATTTCAAGAGGGGCTTGTCCCCTACAGCAGTGCAGTCAGGGAGTCCAAAGGCATCTCTCCTAGCCAGCCTTCAGCCAGCCTGCCCAAGATGGATCCCAGTCTTTCCTCTCCCCTTCTTCTTCTTCCCAGAACACCCTGCTAAAAACTCTCTTTTCCTGTCACTTCAAACCCACACCCCATCACCATGGCAACCTCTGTCTGCCTAGACTCTCAGATGTGCCATCAATCCATTTTGTCTTACTAATGCCTCTATCCCAGGTGAGGCCCTGGCTTGGAAAGGAATTTTAGCCTGTACTTTTCCACTGACCCCCAATCTTCTCTTCAATACTCCAAATAATTAAAATTTGTTCTTTGTTCTTTCTTTTTTGTTTCATTTTCTTTCTAGGTATATAAAATTTGTATATAATTTTTGTATACTTGTTGGAAATTATAGTATGTCCTGTAATGTAATATGACAACGTCTACCGATGTAATATAAGAATGTTAACAAATAAATAAAATGCATTTTTTAAAAAAAATTATAATTAAATCCTACCATTTATTAATTTCTAGGGTTTGGGAGGGGGTCGCCCCCAAATCTATACAATATGATAAGGATATTGACAAGCCGGAATGTGTGCAGAGGGAGGCGACAGAGACATGGAAACCAAGACTTATGAGGATCAGTGCATGGTATTTGGGAGGCTTAGCTTGGAGGAGAGGAGACTGAGAGGAGATACGAGAGCCGTCTTCCAAGATCTGGAGGTGCCCAACTCACCTTCGTTGAATTCCCGGCTGAGCTCGTGGTTGGGGCAGCGCTTCACCACCTCGGTGACGTGCTCCGCTTTCTTGTAGACGGGCATTGCACGGATGACGGCGCCCTGGGGAGGGGGGGTCATCACCTTGATCTGAATGGGACACGTCTTGGCGATCTGGCAGTACAACTTCTTCAGTTCGGTGGAGTACTGGTGGGAGGACAAAAGGGAAGAGAGGCAAAGTCAGGAGAGCAGCCAAGGAAGACCCGTTTTGCATTGGTAAGAACTAGATCTTATGGCAGCAACGGAACTCTGGAACTCCCTGCCTATTGAGAACAGGCAGGCACCTTCCCTGCAGTCCTTCAGCAGCTGATAACAGTGTTGTGTTATGTGTAGCTGACTTTGTAATGTTTTATTTTTAAAATCTTTAAGATATTATTTTAGATTCCTGCTAATTAAGTTGCTTTGAACAGATGCTTTAAATTTGACTTTCCTCAGCAATGTTTTATTTAATGTCTTAACTGCTCTGAGAGTTTTTTCCTTAAAAAATATAGAGTGGTATGGTAATGAAAAACAACAACAAAACATAGCCAAGCATGCCCATATGCTTAGAAAGTTAACGTGAGTTAATTCTTATCGTTCTTTTAACTTTTCAAAAGTTTTAAATTATTGTTGTTATTGTTTTCTCTGATTGATACTGTTATTTTTAAATCTTTTTTGGCAAACCGCTTGAGTTTGTTTGGTTTTTTTTGACAGTCAAGAAATGTATACATTTTATGAAATTAAATAAAAGTGAAGTCACGAGCCACAGTCCCTTATCCTTCTCTCTGCGCTGCACCAATCCTGCTAGGTCTTTTCGCAATACATGGGCACCAAGGCACTCAACACACACTTAATGTTTTATTCATTATAGTTTAGAAATCATTTATTGTAACTGTTGAGTGGATTTCTCTTTAACTTTTATATGTTAATATTATTATTTTGTACTATCCTAATAATTGTTGTTGAGGGACGCGGGTGGTGCTGTGGGTTAAACCACAGAGCCTAGGACTTGCCGGTCGGAAGGTCGGCAGTTCGAATCCCCGCGACGGGGTGAGCTCCCGTTGCTTGGTCCCTGCTCCTGCCAACCTAGCAGTTCGAAAGCACGTCAAAGTGCAAGTAGATAAATAGGTACCGCTCCAGCGGGAAGGTAAACGGCGTTTCCGAGCGCTGCTCTGGTTCGCCAGAAGCGGCTTAGTCATGCTGGCCACATGACCCGGAAGCTGTACGCTGGCTCCCTCGGCCAGTAAAGCGAGATGAGCGCCACAACCCCAGAGTTGGCCACGACTGGACGTAATAGTCAGGGGTCCCTTTACCTTTAGGACTAATTCAGCCAGCTAGCCCTGGCGATTATCTAATATTTGTTAGATGGATTTCCCCTAAATTGATTTCTGAACTTTGAATTTTATTGTTATTCATGTTTTCATACTGTATTTTATGCTGCTTTTACAATTAAGTGTTTTAAATTTGTTGTTAGCCACCCTGAGCCCGGTTTTTGAACCGGGAAGGGCGGGGTATAAATCCAAATGTATTATTATTTATTATAAGTGCTTGGAAGGCTGCAGGAGCTTGTCTGTAGCTTCCACGCGGCATGGAAACCCCCTGGCTGCGGCAACCACAGAAAACTGCTGGCATTTCCTCCCTTCCCAGCTATTGATGCCTTTCCACGGGGCTGGCGGGAAGAGTGCGCAGCAAGCTGTTTGCTTTCAGAGCGTCCCGTGAAAGGCTGCGTGCTCCCAGGCACGGTCCCAAGTGCGCAAACAAAGGGCCGACAGGAACGCACACGTTAAACTGCAGCAAAACTCGCCCTTTGCATCCTGTCCGGATAATAGGCTCCTGGCAAGGGTGGTTGGTTAGGCAGGTGGGTGGCAGTGTGGCAATGGAGGGGATTAGCGATGGATATTCAAGGAGGCGGGTGGGAGGGATTTTATTCTGTTACAGGTGAGAAAACATGAATCTGGGGGGAAATTCGGAGAACTGGCCAATTATTTTCAAGCATGAACTCCGGCTCTCCTCTCTGCTCCACCCCACCCATTCTCACATCGCTGCCCAGAGGATTTAGGTCATCGCAGCGAAAGGCACTGCTGCGAATAGCTGGCGGTTTAAAGCCCTCTCTCGAACGCGACAATGTCGGATTGTGCAATCGCTTCTCTTTCTCGTGCCCGCAGGCTAAGGATTACGCACACAAAGGATTTACACAGCCTGCGGAAACGGGAGCGTGCCAAGCGAGGCAATATATTGTTTGAGAAAGGAGAAGAAGAAGGAGAGGAAAGAAAACCAGATTATTGCAACACTCAAAGCAAGTTGTTGGAGGCGGCGGCGGGGGGATTGTCTTTAAAATAAAATAAAAAGTATTCCCAGAAATCTCTCATTGGAAAGCTCTCTTAATTAAAATGAACACTGTTAATAAGGCACAAGACTGAAGTTTTAAGGAACTGGGCAGAGGGAAAGCAGACGGTTTTTTTTCCCCTTCTTTTTCTGCTAAGCACATCATGCCAACCTGGTCTCGAGACAAGAGATTCAAGATTAGGATCTTTGGCGAGTTTAAGAAAAGAGAAATTGAAAGGGGAGGAGGGGGACTGTACTGGGACCACAGTAATAGTCCAAGGGATTTAAAGCCTTTTCTCCTGGCCACTTTCAGAAATGGCCCTACTTCAGGTGTCTGTGTGATCCCTTTCCGCTTCCCCCTACATGGAGCTCAGAAGCTGGAGAGTGAGGAATTTAACATCAATAAATAAGTGGTGTTGAGATACAGGACTATACCCCTTCCCACACTGCTCCCCTCGCAATCCTATCTGTTTCCCTACTGACTTTAAAAAAATAATCCATAGGAGATAGTAAGCACAGATTCCCCCACATCGCTGCTAGTTGCACCCATGAGAACAGAAAGGACGCCAAAAAGGATAAGATCAAGGGGCTCCATCGCCCTCTCCATTGTTGTGGCCAGGTATGTGCTTTGAACTGGGCCAGAGCGTTTCTCCATTTATCCTTGTTCTGCTTACTCTGACTGGCAGCTGCTCTCCAGGGTCTGAGCTCCGAGGTATCTCCCAGCCAGACCCATCTATCTCGAGATCCTTTTAAGTGGAGATGTCGCAGGAGCACAGGAAGTCAACCAGAGACAAGCAAGGTTGAAGTTTATCCTTGTTCTGTGCAACGGGCCAAGATCTTATTTTATTTTATTGCAATTCATTCTCCCAAGCCACTGGGCTAGCTTGCAGAATCTTACCATAACCGACAGGTGAAGACTTTCTTGTTCCAACAAGAATTGACCGCGTTTGGTTAAAGGGCTGGCGCTCTGCTGTTTTCATTTTAATCATCGGTATGTTTTAAACGGATTTTGCACTTGTATATAGTTTTAACTCTATCAAGGTTTAATTGGTTTTTTAATGGTTGATTCTGTATGTTTTTAGCAACAGAGAGCAAGAAGGAGCTGTACTCCAGGGCAGCTAGTCCTCCCCCTGGAGACTGTTTCTCTCCCTTGAGATTACAGCTTGGCTCGCTTACTTGAGCAGCCTGCCATTTTACTCCACAAGCGACATTTTACGGGGCTTCTGTCCACCATCTGTGGCCTCCCACGGTGGTATGGATCGTCTTCAGGAAGGGCCAAAAAAAGCTTGGCATGCGAAGGATCTGGGGTTCTGGCAAATTCAGACTTCCATGCCTTACGGGGACGAAGTCTCACCAGAATGGGCAGGGACGAGGCTGCAAAGAGATGTTGCCACAAGGAACAAACGGCACCAAGAAGACCCAGCATGGGCTAAACATCCTGGGATGCTTCAAAATGAAATAGAAATCTCAGCCCTTTTGCTGTTCTTTGTGCCCAAATGCGCTGCACAGACGGGATTTCTGAGGATACCAACACACCGGCCCGTTTTTACCTAAGAATACGACTTGCAAGGAACACGGGGGGGGGGGAGAGCATTCCAATGCCTGCCTCCCTGCCCTCGCCACCTGCCCATGGCAGCAGGCTGTGTTACATACTGCTGGCACCCGAGCGGGTAATCCAGTCTTTCTCTGCGCACGCCCCACGCGCACGCCCCACCGTCGCCCAACACCTGCCTGGTTTCTCGGCACGACGCTCCCCCCCCCTCCGTTCCTTCCACCCACCCTTCTCCTGAAGGAGTGTTGACAAAGGTTTTCAAAGACCCACACGTACAGCCATTATTTGGGAGTGTCTATTTCACTCTTAACAAAGGAGAAGCCTGCCAGCGGGACGCTTTCCTGCGCTCAAAGCGCGGGGAGTGAAAAAGGGGCACCGGGAAGGAAAGCGGTCTTGGTTTCTGTAACGGGAATCACCCGAGCTCACCTCGCAGGGGGAGTTTCCGTCGGCCGTGCACAAATGTGGAGCGCGGGAAGAACCACACACAGAGACACACAAATGCACAAACACACCGCCTCCTTGAATCTTGCAGATTCCGGTGCCCACGAAGAAACTTAAGGACCATCTACTCTCCTTCCTTGGAGATATTTAAGCAAAGCTTGGATGGCCCTCTGTCATGGATGCATTAGTTGAGATTCCTGAATTTCAGGGGGTTGGACTAGATGACCCTTGAGGGTCCCTTCCAACTCTACCATTCTAGGATTTTAGGATTCATTTCGGATATTTCACAGCAGCGTCTTCAGTTCTATATTGGCCAGAATCATGGAGGGGTTTGTAGAGCCTCTAGTCCAAGCCCAGTTTTCCACTGCAGGAAATCCAGAGGTCTAGAGTGGGGTTGGGGGCCTGGAATTCCCATGGGGGGCACTAAGAGGCAAGGGGGGGTGCGAGAGGTGCAAGTGACTATCAGACTTTGAAAAGTGGGATCCCTAGATCAAGTTCCTCAGTGGTGCGCTCAAAAATAGAACCATACATAATAAAGCAGGCTTAACTTAGAATTATTTAAACCAATTCATGAGCCAAGAACTTATACATTGACCACTAATAATGAATCATATGTTGTGGATTTTACTCCACATTTATTATGCTATTTTTGTGATATACAAACGACATGAGAAAACACGGTACACTTATTTGTAGAACATTATTCTTGTTTATAAAACCCAATAAAAAAAAGAATAGTGGGAACATTGGTGAACGAGGTGAGAGAGCCCTTATCACAGAAAGGACCCCCCAGTCTGGTGAACCCCAAGTAACTGAGCTGCAGTTAAAAGCCCCCTTGTTGTGAAAAGGC